CCAAATTGGGCTTAATAAGCGGCGGGCGCACTAACCGGAGAGTCCTAGTTCTAGTCCTAGTCTTGGTCCTAGTTCCGTCCCAAGCTGATTTGGGCTTAATACGCAGCTGGGCCTATTAAGCGTGGGCTTAATAACCGGCGACTACTGTATTACAATTTTTTAAAATAATTAACACATGGGTGTTGGCGGGTCAAGGCATTGCTACCTAACATTCAGAAGATCTCATTTTAATACACCCGGGCAAGTGAGTAAATACTACTTCATGCTGCACCTGCTTGTGCATATATTTCATTGGCTTAGGAACCTGCATTGCCTGTTTTCGAGAAATTTGTCAGGCAAAGAAATGATACGGAAGAAACTTTTTCTTTATAACGACATTCAATCTGTTTTTTTAGTAGATTTTTCTGTGCTAAAAATATAGCGACATTCACTGGAACTGGATGAAACACGCTCTGTTACGACTGGTTCTACGAATAATTACTATCAAAGTGCATCGTCAAATAATTAAACTACCTTTAGGACCGGTGTGCTGTAATGGCCTAGTGCTTCATGGGACCGATCATCGTCATCATGGGTTTTGCATGACAAATTCCGTTATAATATCCCCTGTTAATGGCTTATTTCTCCAGCTTTTCTGTTCGGATGCTAAGCATTATCTAACACGTAAATGGTCGTAGGTTTTTTAATAATCCTCGCCGAGGGCTGCTAGCCTCCGGAGTATCAAGAACAGTAAATGAAAAGCAGAAAAATTTGCTGGGGCTCACAAAAAGAGGGCAGATAATTACGTCCTCCTAAAATGTTATTTCAGGCAAAACTAATGGCTTTCATCTGCACCACAAAAATCCAAATTGTCTACATTATATTGGGGGAGGGAAGAAGTAGTCACGTAAGCAAGGCGCTGAGCAAGGCTGAGCAAGGCACTGAGCAAAGCTGAGCAAGGCGCGTTTCATAAAAACACACTGCTCTTCGGATATTTGCAGTTTTGCCGTTATTTTTGTTATAGCAAAGGGGTTTCGCAAAATGCAAAGGCCAATAATTTGATTAAAGTTTAAATAATTCCTGACATCCTATCTCAAAAGGCATGTTTAATCTTGTTTGCTAATTGCCTACGATAGCGGATATGACAAGTAATTATTGCATTATCGACATACATGGCTGTTTTTTACACGCCGGTGATTCACCTTCTCCAAGCAAAACAAAACAAAAGGGTCAAAACCACGGGTGAAAAGAGGATATTTTCAAACAAAGCACGTAGAATAATAGAGCGAGAGTAACTTTAAGGGGGCTGTTTTTAAATTCCCTTATCTGTCTGTGTGAATTACTTCAGGTTCACCACTACCATCAACTTGGCTTTTCGTTTTATGAAAGATTTGTAGCCCACGCTTCTTTTAGAAAAATTGAAAGTGCGGTCGATATTGCGGACTCATAAGCAGGAGTGTTACCTTTTTGTATTCGAGTTCCTTGTAGGAGTAATTTACCTAACAATTCATACTCCCGAAAGTAGAATCAAAAAGCTGTTCGTACCTCATATAAAAGATGCATATTTTAAACAAGAATAAAAGAGGTGTACGGGGGCATTGCGGATCACAAGCAATCGACTATTGATCGTTTTAGCGAATGTAATGGGACGGCTATAACAGATCACCCTAAAGAAAGGCAATTGATGAGGTCATGGTATCTGAAGCTCAATAGTGTTTTTTATTCACAATGTCTGTGTATTTGGATACAAGATTTAAATTGCCTTATTTTACTTTTGAGGACAGGTGAAACTGCGATTTATTATAGACATACAGCCACGAAAAGAAGGTGGTACATAAGTTACTTCCAAGTGTCTGGCTTTAGCATCAGTCTGGGATACGGAGTAAGGGTAGAAATTTGCACTGTCGGCAGTAAAATGCACGACCTATGTGAGTAGTAAATAAATTAACTGTGCCACTTGAATTAGCAAAATTACATGACAGCTAAGAAGTTAAACCAACTGCAAATGCCCGTAAATGCCTGTAAATTGAAGTTACAAAACGTTCTAATACGGAAGAAAATTACAGCGTAAAGGCTACCATATTGATTAATGCAAATACGGATAGACGAACAAATTGCATAGAAAAATCATTTGATACTGCATGAGCTACACGAAAATTCTTACTCATTCTAAGTATAGTTTTAAAAGAATATTTAATTTCCCAAGAGAGAGATTAAATTGAAAAGATGTGGTGTTAAAACGTGTCTGTGGTCACAATGGTGCACGTAAAACATCTATCCCATCCTGTTACGTGCAAAAACTGAACGCTGTTGTGCCGGCAGTCTTGACACTCAGAATTTGTCTGACTGGTAAATAACAGTATCCACATGTACAGTCAGTAATTTTCAAGGCTTTCGGACTGCAATTCAAATGTGAAGTAACTTAACTGTGGAGAGTCAAAAACAACTGCTTTGATTTACCAGATTTGTACTTGATTGTTTAAAGCTAATGTCCACAAAAATGCATATGATATTTGTCTATATATGACTGCAAAACAGACGCGCACTGTGCGCATCAGTAACGGAAACCTGGCGTCAGTGGGGGGGGAGCATATTCACTGGCTGTGATGCAGTCTGCCATAGCCCAAGACGGCAACACCATCACTACACCATAACTACCTGTAGTTCCTAAGCCGATACATTCCCTATTCAGTTCTGGATCTTCTTCCTTCCTTTCACCCGCTAGGCAGTTGTGGTGCACGGCCAACTTGGGCGAAAAAGTGATAATCGTCAGGGTTTACGATCACGGCCTTTACCATGTACCTGTGACGCCAGCTGAAAGAGATGCCTGCTCACTCATAAGCGCAGACACCCGAGAGTCAAAAAGGCTGACAAAATACGTCTCAGGATACCCTGAGGAGGGGTGATGAGGGTGGGCGGTAAGAACAAAATCCCCGTTGTCGTGAGCGTATGAGGGCAGCCAATAAATATGCCTGCACGCTAGTCAGTGGTAAGGGGCGCACTCCGAGGCAGCTGGGCTAAAAACGAATAATGTTACACGCCCTCCTTTTTGGCAACGCAATTTCTATACAAATCATGCACATGATTTTATATACATGTATCCTAAGCTATGCATAGCTTAGAATGGAATCTAACATAATGCCATCATAGAATCATACTTTAAAATAATAACACTTCTACTTATATATAGTTATGTATCTCAAAAGACTGCATACAAAAAAAATTTAACAAGCAATAAAAATGCTAAATAAAATCTTACGACATCAGCCATGGTTGGCGACAAATTTCGCTATGTTTAAGTGGCGCGCTTAATGTTTTGACCTCAAAAACACTAAAAACGGTGGCTGTGTAAAAGCGCTGAAACTATTCTAGTCATGTCAGGTTTATTTACAATGTAGAAATCCAACAGAACAAAATCTTGTTCAAAATCGGTTCTTTTTTATTTCCTAAGCCTACACTTAATCAGTGTAAGGTCTATAGTCCACAAAGTATAACAACTCTGGATTTTTGGTAAGACAATAACCCGGCTGT